TAGCTCAAAAACTGAGAGACTAGTTTGCGTAGAAACAGACAGACGGACAGACGGACATGGCTAGATCGACTCGTCTTGTGATGCTGATCAAGAATATATATACTTTATGGGGTCGGAAACGTCTCCTTCACTGCGTTGCAAACTTCTGACTGAAATCATAATACCCTCTGCAAGGGTATAATTAAAAAAATCAAATTTTTGATTTTTAAAATTTTTAGAAATTTGATACTTTTGAAACTGGACGTGGTCAAAAAAAAACTAATGGGTGGGCAAAAGTGATCAAATGGGGGTCAAACGATTACCGTTTTCAAAATTCAAAAACTTAAGCTTCTCTGAGCTGTGCAAACTACTTACACAAATATTAAAGAAAATGTCATTATCGGGGGTGTCACAGACAACCAATCCAACCAAATTTCCTCCGATTTCGGCCAGCCGAAGCTTATATACCCTTGCAGATAAAGCAAACACCTATCGTTTAATGCTCACTCGGTGCAGTTCCAGGGATTCCAGATTCAGCGTGCCTATTATTTAAATTTTGTTTTTAAGTTGTCAAAAATCAAAACGCCTACTCCCTACAAAGTTACAATGAATTTTCTTATATTTGTTTGAATATTCCTATGGGAGCCTTAAGATATAGTGGTCCGATCCGGCTCGCTCCGACATATGTACTACCTGCAATAGAAAGAAGACTTTCGGGAAAGTTTCATCGCGATAGCTTTAAAACTGAGAGACTAGTTCGCATAGAAACGGACAGATGGACAGACGGACATGCCTAGATAGACTCGGCTATTGATGCTGATCAAGAATATATATACTTTATGTGGTCGGAAACGTCTCCTTCACTGCGTTGCAAACATCTGACTGAAATTAGAATACCCTCTGCAAGGGTATAATAATAGAAAAACTATTGTATCTTTGTAGAAAGTAGGCGTTTTGATTTTTGACAATGTAAAAACATCATTCTAAGTAGGCATATCTGCAAGGGTATAAAAAATTCGGCTGGCCGAAGTTAACTTCCTTTCTTGTTATATTTACTTTGGGGGTATATTTAAAAAAAAAACTTTTTATAAAACCTTTCGAAATAATTGGCTAAAAAACCGTCGGCAAACAGTCCAACCTGACAGTGGTACCAATTAGCTCGAACTTTAAAATACCAAATTTCGTAGTAGTTGTCGATATAGTTATATATATAGTTATAGTTATAGATATAGTTATAAATAAAAAATAATATAATCGAGTATTACTATAAAAGAGTAGATGTCGTTTTGCGTCATGTTCCCACAGCCCAAACCATAAGACCTAAAATCCTGGAAAAAATTGGGTCTGAATCTTTTTTTTTAAATTCGGCTCCTAAGGACTCCCAGGACTCTCGAAAAATTCAAAATGATTAAAACATCAACCATTCCCACAGTTTTCAACCAAACAAGTTGATATTTTTTTTAAGCTTTGTTTGTCGAAATCTTTGAAAGCCCAGAAGATGAGCCCCAACCGACTTCCGGTTGGGGGTACTAAATTTTTTTTTCCGCAACGATTATGCGATTGGATCCGTTATTGGTTTAAAGTGTCATACATGCCATACAATCAGAAAGGCATTTTTTTTTTGTTTTTTTGGACACATGGTTGATTTTATATGATTTTTTTTGTAAGATTGCGGGGGTTGTTTTTGTTTTTTGTATTTTTTGGTCACGAACGAATTTCGAACACAGCTCTCACAAAAACAACGTGAGGAAAAGCAGACCGAGAGAGCAGAGAGACAGTCATTAGAAGCAAAAGAGAGGCGGCAAATGTTTTTTTTTTTTTCTGGTTTGGAAACACCTGTTCAAAATTTTACTATTTGGACACCAGAACGAATAATTTAATAGATGCAATTCTTAGTCATAGTGTGAAGCTAACCCGAAAAATGCATAAGGAGCTTTTGTTTTTATTTTAAACAATTTTTGATTGGTTTTCACATTTGAATGTAAGAAACGCAATTGCACACAGCACATCGACAAATTGGCATGTACATAAGTATGTGATGATTAAATTAGGATAAAACACCTAATGGATGCAATTCTAAATCAAAATGTGTATGTATTCCTTAAAATATTCAGGGATCTACTCTAAAACTGTAAAGAAATTAGAAAAACTATTGAGATATGCGTATACACACATTCATACGAACATATGGGCACTTCCACCAAAAGGTCCACCAAGCAAAAAACCTTGAAACTTAAATAAAACAGATTTCCACATGATTTTGCCCCGATATTAGTTTCTAAATAGTTTGATCTTGAGCTTAACTAAAAATATGGAGTATAGTTTGATTATATTTATGACAAACGCTACCAATATACACAAAAATCAGTTTTAGGCAATTTTTTTGTTATTTTTTGGACCTGTCTTCAGTTGTTAATTTATCCATTAGGAATGCTAATATGTGACATTTTTTTGTACTGAATGCTTCATTTACATGTTAAACTATTAAGTTAAAAGCAAAACATCCGGCAATTGAGGGATAGTGGTAAAGAAATCCACTTTACAAAACAGTCGGAAAAAATGTCCCGAGCGACACGTCCCGAGCGAATGTGTTTGAAACTGCATACCAAAAAAAACAAAACCATTTCATAGCGACATGTTTGGACAACATTCTAAAAAAAATCGCATTCAAATATTTCATCAGAATTCGCTAAATTCTGTTGTTGAATGAACTTCCCCGAAATCCACTTCTATTTTTGTCCCTAGCGAATACGGCAGTTTTTTAACGATATCTTAAAAACTAAAAATGGTACAAAATCAAGATTTTTACACAGAGTAAAGCTTGGGAAGAGTGAAAAGAAAAGCCCATTATTAAAATTAAAATCCATTTTTTTCCAATTTTTTTTCAACTTTAAAGGTGTGCAAACGTCCCGAGCGGCAATATGGAAGTGCCCATATGTACTTTAAAAACATAAAATTAAATATATGCGTGCACAAATAACATTCCAATTTAAGAAAAGGTCGTATTCGCACAACTTTCATAATCTGGAAATTGTACCAGCTAAAACGTACCTACAAAACTTTAAAAAAAAATTGGTTTTAAATTATGTTAAAGGCGAGGGTAGGTATTTAAGTGTAATTTTTAATATATTATTTTTTAAGGTTTTTGGGCTTTAGGTGTGTTTGAAAAAACGGTAAAAAAATAGTAAGAGTTTTTCTCTGCGTTCGCAAAGCTAACAAAAATGATATATTTAGGCTACCAGAACGGTGGAGTTACGGTGGGAATAAGGTGAGGTTAGTGCGGGGTTAAGTTGCGATTTAGGAGGAATTAGATAGATAAGGGTAAAAGTAATGTAAAGAAGATTTAAAGGTGATGTAAAGGCAGGGACCGAAAATAACTGTTATTGTAAATTTTTCATACAAAAAAATCACGCACTTAGAAGGGTCCTAAAAATTTTTTAAATACACCACAATTTTTATTAGCCATTGTAAGTAGTTTACAAATCCGTAATGATTTTCATTTTTTGATTTTTATAATAAAACTCAAAAAAAAAGTGTTATTTTTTGATTTTTATGAATAACAGTTATTCCCTTGACACTTTTGAAAAAATGAAATAATTAAAAAAAAACATGATACCCGTGCTTTATATAGCTTACTAAAAATTTGTTAAAAAAGGCAACCGCGCATATTTTATACCTATATTTTTTTAAAATTTTTTTTACCCACAAAATCGCCATAAATCAAGTTTGAGTTTTGTTTTTGATTATGACGAATAACTGTTATTTGTCAAACTAAACTCATATTATAAAACTCATATTATAAAACTCAAAAAATAACAGTTATTCTTTGAGTTTTACTTTACAAATCAGAAAATAAGTGTTAAAGTGTGATTTTTAAAATAAAACTTATAACAGTTACGTTCCCTGTGTAAAGGTGAAGGTAAGAAAGGTAAGGTTCGTTTGGGTCAAGCTGACAAACAAGTTTAAATAAGAAAAAGTGAAGTTAAAGTTAGTAGATATAGTAAGGAAACATTTTTTTCAGGTGAGACTAAAGTTAGGTTAGCTAAGAAGAGGAAAAACTAGTGTTAGGGTGGGTTAAGACGAGGAAATAGTGAAAACAGCATTAGGGTGCTAAAAAAGTATGCAAAGGGTGAGAATAAAATACGTGGGGTTAAGGTGAGGTAATATTAGGTAATATAAGGTATGTTATGGCTAGAAGGATATGGATAGAATGTTAGTGCGCCTTAGGTGGGTTTACTGTTTAGCTAAGGTTAGGCGGGATTGCAAGAATTTTGCATCAGTGATCAGGTATCAGGTAGCGTAAAAATAGTACGCTACCTTTTCTTCATTCATGGCTTCTGGCATGTATCGATAGTCGAAATATAGTAACTTATTATCATAATAATTTGAATAAAAACCATAAATTCGGTGGAATTCTTTATAAATGTTCTGCCATTTTTGATTTGTATGTATCTACAATAGCTGTGGTCAGTGCTGCAGTTGCGGAGGCAGAAAATTTTTTTTTTTAATTGCGCGCGCATTGTTTGATATATTTGTTTACCTTTACGTTATTGCAATGTATCATGAGCGTTCAGCAGAACAAACTTGATCACTGATTACTAATCTATCAGTGATCAGGTATTATGTTGTTCTGCTGAACGCGCCCAATAATACCAAAAAAAAATTACAAAATTGATTGTCTTGTAGTTAAATGGCTAAAATAGCTATAAAGAAATTAAAAATGGCTAGTTTAGTGGCTGATAGCATTTAAAAAAATAATGACACATTTTTTTAAGTGGCTAGAAATAGCCACTAACAGGGGTGTCACAGAAATCTTTTCCAACCGAAGACGGTTGGATTTTGCATTGATGCACGTAAGAACTTTAACGGATTTCGGTTGGAAATAATATCTGTGACACCCCCGTAAATGGCTGACCTGGCAGCACTGCTCCCTATATACCCTGCGATCGTCACTTTACCTCCACAAACCCCATACAAACAATATTTGATCCAAACGCATACAATATAAAAGAAACAATACAATATCTTAAAAATATAATCAATGAAATTTAGATTAAGCTTAAAATTAGTAATTGTAAGAAAGAAATTAAGTAAAAAATTTGTTGTTACGTGATATTGATAGTTTAATTTAGCTGTTTAAAATAATGAAGAATTTAATTTTTTAGCTTAGGGACGGTACCTATAGCTAAGTTTAAGTTGGTCTGTAAATTTTACATTATAGTCGAACACTTTATAATAATAATTTTACCAATTCTGGAATTAATTTTCGGGAGACTAAAATATCATACATATGTATCTATGTAATCGACAACTTTAAGGTAAGTCAAGATGGGTTATTACGCTTATTGGATCGTAATCGTGCCAGTCCAGTGCGTTCTTCTTCCTCGTCGCTTGTATATTGATGCATGCTGGTTCCGCTAACACTTCCTACTCGTGCTGAAGACGTTGCCTGCATGAGCTCTTGATCGGGCGCATTTCGATTTTCATAAAGTAAAATCTGAAGAGTTTCTTCGTATATACGAGCTTCCGGAAATTCAACTTTAGTATGCTTTCTATCAGTTGCATATACTATTGAAGTGCAACATACTTCCGCTACTTTTTTGCCGTGTCCATAAAAAGACCAGCAGCAGATTTCACTTGGCCCAATTACGTCTTTAATGAACAATATTCGTTCGTTGAAACGCAAAGATAGTTTATCAAAAAGTTCAATATTTTTTAGTAGGTTATCATCTGAAGTACTTGTGTACGAATACTTGTTATTCTGACGCTGTACCACAAGAATAACAGCAGGCTTTGAAGAGACACTAATTAAAAGTTGTTCTTCCTTTTGCGAAGTTATTAAAGGAATGCGACAAATTGGCTTCGGTTCCTGGTGAGCATATAGCGCTCTTTCACAAGACATGGCCAGTTCCGTGATGCAATAATATTTGGCTTCAGCAAGCAGTTCTGCGATTTCTTTGTTAGTTTCGGGTAACGGAACAGTGCCATCTCGTAAAAAATTAAGTATGATGCCAAAATGGTTTCCACAGCGGTCGATTAAAATCCATCCTAGAACGCTTTGTTTATTATTACTATAATTATATTATTACTAAGTAAGGTAAAACATACCTTCAGAATCAGTCAGCACCTCCATCCTACCGCTAAACATCGCGCTCAACATTGTGTCATTATTTTTGGTCAATGTTCCAATTGTGGTATAATACAAGCGACCACCAACATTCAGTTTTAAGTACTGAGAGGAGTGCCCTTTTAACAAAATTTGTTGATCACACGAAATAGTTTCCGACATTGCTATTTGGTTACTTCCTTCCGGCCTTGCCCCAACTGCCTTTGAGTACCTACGACCCAACTCTTTAACTGAGCTTGCTATTTTTGTGTGTTCTCCACCACCCTTTTGTTTTGAGCTAAGGCAAACGCTTTCATTTGCGTTGCTTACACCCGAAACATTCTCAAGCGTTGGTGAATCAATTTTGACGAGAGCTTTTTGTAAAAAACTAAATTTATTCTTTAAAAAACAGTAAGTGATTAATTACAAAAGATATTTCTGTGCTTGTGCTTGCAATTCTATATCGATATCGATTATCAAAATTTTAATTATAAATAAGATCCTATTCAAACATATCTGCATCTGCATCAACGGCCGAATGTTGCATTAGTGACTTTAGTCTTTAAACAAGAATATACTTCATATCTTATGGTATTTATTTATTTGTTTTTGGCATCATTAGACGAATTTCACATGGCTTATATAAACTTTGCTTGCATATCAATTTTCTTAATTTCGAAATGACGTTATCTTAAATCCTGGTTGTATAAAAACATATACGTTGGAAACAGTTGGAATTTTTGAAACATGTGAATCTCTGATTCCCACAGATTGTCTCTCTGACTCCACGATCTGATAACAGCTGACTTTTAGAACCGTTGCTCATCTTAACAAGGAGAAATTTAATCCAAAACTTTAAAAACTTTAAAATTTTATTGTAAAACAATAATAAAAAGATTCAATGGTAGTAATTTAAAACATTTTGAACATATGGAACATATTCCACTTCAGGGTACAAATTGCTTTTGATTAAAATTATTAAGTATATACGAAATGCACAACATATTGATGTTGTCTTTCGCAAAACAACTTAAATTATAGCCCTATGGTCTTATACGGGGGTGTCACAGAAATTATTTCCAACCGAAATCCGTTAAAGTTCTTTCGTGCATCAATGCAAAATCCAACCGTCTTCGGTTGGAAGAGATTTCTGTGACACCCCTGATAGCCTCTTTCCATAGAGTTCATCTATGTGAAACGGTTGGGATTTTTGACATATGTGAAATTCGTGCTCCCATAGAGTTTCCATCCACTTCCACATCCAATAACAGCTGACTTGAAGAGCAGCGTCTCAACTCAACATAAACGAAGGGGGCAAACTGTCGTAACATTGCGTTCTCCTAATCTTATTGTAGAATAATACAATAAATAACATAAGATAATAGTTTAAAACATATCTGAGCTTTTATAACATATCCTATAACGAGTATGATACATATTGCTGACTGGGGGAGAGCCTAATCTCCCGTACCCCACGCTTTTACTACGCCTCTGTCTAGCCAATATTAATAGCCTCTTCTCGAACAGTCCATCCGTTTGAAACGGCTGGGATTTTGGCGAATGTGAAACTCGTGTTCCCACAGAACTCCATCCACCATCTACCATCCAATAACAGCTGACTGAAGAGCAGTTGCTCAGCTCAACATTAACGAAGGGGGATTTCAACTCGGCAAAACTGTCGTAAAATTGCAACCTTGGAACTTTACAGGAGTACAAAGTACACTTTTAAGTAATATTATTGACACTTTGCTGCAAACATTGATGCTTTCGTACGCACAACAGCTTACATTTTGGCCCACACATAGCAACCTGCTTGCGAACGCTTTTCCGCTCATAACAAACTACAAATAATTAAAAAAAACCCAAAAAACAATGAGCTGAAGCATTATTTAATTTTTTCTCGCCATCGATTTGGTTTGTTCTCGCAGTCATCGTTCCAATATTCACAATCAAGGAAGAATTCAGAGTTGCACCGAGAAAACATCGCCTAACTATCGCATAAAAGTCCGTCAAAATTGAATGGCGGACTAACTGGGAAATTTTCGGAACGGCTAAACCGGACCATCCGTTCAACGGATGGTAGATGGTGGATGGAGCTCTGTGGGAAGACCCTATAATTTGGCAAATTTGTGAACAAAGCCAAAAGTGTGCTGTTTTGGTTATATATAGCCAATTTGGAACTTTATAGGAGTACATAGTACACTTTTAATTAATATTAGTAATTATTTACGATGTGCAAAACATATTCTGAGATTTTTCTGCAAACATTGATGTTTTTGTACCTAGAACAGCTTAAATTTTGGCCCGCTCATAGCAACCTGTTTGCGAATGCTTCTCCGCCCATAACAAACTACAAATAGTTCAACAATAGCCAAAAAACCATGAGCTGAAGCATTATTTATTTTTTTCTTGCCGCCAATTTGATATGTTCTTGTAGTCAACGTTCCACTTTTCACAGTCAAGAGGAAGAATTCAGAGCGGCACCGAAAAAACATCGCCTAAATATCGCATAAAACAGACCGTCAAAGTCCGTCAAAATTGGAAGGCGGACTAACTGGGAAATTTTCGGAACAGCAAAACATTACGGACCATCCGTTCAACGTATGATATGAAGATACCCAAAACCAATGAAACAGCCCATAATAGCCTCTTCCCATAGAGTACATCCGTGGGAAACGGTTGGGATATTGACAAATGTGAAATTCGTGTTCCCAGAGCACATCCACCATCCAATAACAGATGACTTGAAGAGAAGTTGATCAACTCAAAATTAGCGAAGGGGGATTTCAACTCGGCTAAACTGTCGAAAAATTGCGTTCTCCTAATCTTATTGTAGAACTAGCAGTACCCGAAGCGACGTTGTCCGCCACTATTAGCAACGCATTTATTGCTGATTTTTTCATATAATCAAATTTAAATTAATATCAGAGTGAAATCCCGCGTAACCTTAGCTAAACAGTAAACCCACCTAGAACGCACTAATATTCTAATCCTTCTAACTATAACATACCTGACCTTAACACCGCATTAACCCTAATATTACTTAACCCTTAACCCCACCTATTTTATTCTAACACTTGGCACACTTTTTTAACACCTTAATGCTTTTTTCACTTTTTCCTCGTCTTCACCCACCATAGTACCAGTTTTTCCTCTTCTTATCTAACCTAACTTCAGTCTCACCTGAAAAAAAAATGTTCCTTACTATACTTACTTACTTTAACTTCACTTTTTCTTAGTAAAACTTGTTTGTCACCTTGACCTTATCCTCACTAAAGTCCAAACGAACCTTATCTTTCTCACCTTCACCCTTCCCTTACAGTACTTTTACCCTAATCTATCTAATACCTCCTTAATCGCAACTCAACCCCAAATCTCACCTTATTCCCACCTTAACTCCACCGTTCTGGTAGCCTAATTATAAAGATTTGGCTAGCTAAGCGAATGCAGAGAAAAACTCTTACTCTTTTTTACCGTTTATTTTGAACCGATCTAACCCCCAAAAACCTTTAAAACATAAATATAAATATATAAAAAATATAACTATAAAAGGCTACGGCCAAAATGCTTTAAGCGAAAAACGGATCTGCTCGCAGGATCGGTAGGAAAACAAAAAAGAAGCCCCAATGTCGGCTGGGAATCAACAGCTGGAGTTAAATATTTCAGGAAATAAGGAATATTATAAAAAGCACATAAAGCTCCAACTCTTTTGGGTGAAAACAGTGGGTGTAATTTTGTAGACGAAATTTGGGTAATACTATACATTAGCGGGCTCACCCCCGAAATTCGCGAAAAAATTATCCTCGATGGACCGCGATTTCTTAAGAATTTACGTGCAAAAAGAATTTGGCGGTCGGCCATGGTTCTCTTGTAATTAAATTTCAAAGTTCCCGGGTTTGCTATAAAAAACAAGGGTGCTTTTCTCATATTTTCAATCAAAGTAATTAAGTTTTAATGAGTTCCTATTAAATTAATAAATTGTTTAAATGAGTTCCTATAAAACTATTTAATTGTTTAAATGAGTTCCTATAAAAAAATGTAGAATTTTTTTAAATTAAAAGTTTTAATGAACACTTTTCCGCACCACCATTGAGGTAAAGTTCCAGGTTTTTTCTTTAATAACCTTTTATGGCCTAGATATCTCTCTGCTGAAGTATTCCCGAATAGGAAGTATTTGAAAGAAGTGCGTTTAAAAAAGAAATTTAAAAAAAACTGCGCCGCAATCAAAAAAAATTTAAGAAAAAATCGCGGGTTTTTTCTTAAATTTTTTTGCCTGCGGCGCAGTTTCTTTTCTTCAATATTAAGCTAGTAGTTTCAGCTGAATTAGGGTTGGTGTGTCGCTCAGAAAAAACAAATTCAATCTTTAAGTTTAGTTTTGGGTGGAAAAGACTAAAAGAAAGGTTAAAATATATAATCCTCCTTGGACCGCGATTTCTTCTGATTATCATAATAAAAATACACATGTGGTCATCCATGGTTATGAGATTTCTTAAGAACTCGCTGTCCATCGAGGATCATTTTTACGCGGTTGTGAGGACTAGTTCCCTATAATACCAATTACTCAGATGTTTGGAATTTTAAATTAGTCTTATTTTGACAAAAAAGGAAAAGGGTACATATATACATATATAATTTATATATAGTTATATATATAAATAGAAGAAGATACACAGTACGGACGTGCGAAAAGTGGCTCCTGAATTCTTTTCAAAACATAACACTCCTGGTCCGCCAAAGCCCTGCTGGACGTACCTAAACACTGTCACTTGGTAGGGGCTACATCGGCACCGTGAAATCTCTGGCCAAACACCTCCGGATCTGGCTAAAATCACTTGGTATCGCCCCTCCCAAACCGACCTGGAAACGCGGCTTTTCACTCAAACGGACCATTTTTGTTGGTGGAAACCGACGGCAAAGGAGGAAAACCAAAATAAAAAACACTCAGAAGACCGGCAATGATTAGGCGCAAACAAAACTAGTGACGGAACACAACAGCTGAGAAGCAATCACAGTGAGTCGGATCCAAAGCTCTTGCTTATCGAACGCCCACCAGAATAATAGCTAAGTCTAATCTACGGTCCCAGCTTTAGCCAACAGGTGGCGTTTAGAAAAGTTTAGGAAAAAAAAATTTTAAAGCATCGTTTTAGGCGTACTGTTAAATCTCTGCTCAAAACTAAATAAAAATGTTAGGACTCGCCAGGACCCCTACCAAGTCTCAGGGTAACGGTCAGGCCGGGACATTCAATGCGACACCTGCTAGCGTCTCAAAACGGAGTCGATCAGACACTCCCCCGCAAAATAATTTCACACCAACAAACACTGGCAACCTGGTAGATCTTAAAGATCTGAAATCCATGCTGGAGGGTATGTTCGAC